AGATGGATGGATGGTGTGATGGATAGATAGATGGATGTATGGATGGTGTGATGGATGGATGGATGGATGGATGGATGGATGGATGGATGGTGTGATGGATGGATGGATGGATGGTGTGATGGATGGAGGGATGTATGTATGTATGGATGGCTGGGGTGATGGGTGGTGTGATGGATGGATGGATGGAGGCATGGTGTGATGGATGTATGGATGGATGGAGGGAGGGATGGATGGATGGAGGCATGGTGTGATGGATGTATGGATGGATGGAGGGAGGGATGGATGGATGGAGGCATGGTGTGATGGATGTATGGATGGATGGTGTGATGGCTAGCTTTAAGCTTTAATTGTCAACTTGACATGACCCAGAATCCTTTGGGAAGAGCATCTCAATTGAAGGATTATTTACATTGGGTTGGTATATATGCACATTTATGGAGGACTATCTTAAGTCAACTGATGTGGGGAACTCCCCACTGTGGGCAGCACCGTTCCTTTAACCAGCAGTTCTCAAACCGGGGCTGCAACTTCTTTGGTGTCATATAGCAGACATCCAGCATATCAGATATTTGCATTACAATTCATAACAGTAGTGAAATTACAGTTGTGAAGTAGTAGTCAAATAATTTTGTGGTTGGGGTCACCACAACAAAAGAACTGTATTAAAGAGCACAGCATTAGGAAGGTTGGAGACAGGGAGCCCTGAAATATGTAAGAGTGGACAAATCAAGCTGAGCACAAAGAAGTGAATAGTTAGCAGGCATTCATTCGTTTCTCTCTACACATCTTGACTGGAGATGTGAACAGCTAGCCGTTTGAGGTCCCTGCCTTGACTTCTCCACAATGATGGACTATCACCTGAAATCACAAGCAGAAACAAACTCCTTTCTCCATAGGTTAGGTTGGTTTTTGTCGACGTATTTCTCCTGCCTTGACTTCTCCACAATGATGGACTGTCACCTGAAATTACAAGCAAAAACAAACTCCTTTCTCCATAGGTTAGGTTGGTTTTTGTCGACGTATTTCCTTACAGCATTAGACATGAAACTATGACAGGTGCATGGCGATGTGTATCCACACAGCTATGTATATCCACACAGCAATGTATGTCCACATGGCTATGTATGTCCACATAACTCTCTGTCATGCATTTTTGACAAATTTTCATCTTGCTGAAGGCTTTTTGAGGGAGGAAGAGCACCATTGCCCGCTCTATGCTTTGAATCTGTCTACTCACCCCTGTAGCAGGCTTTGTCATCTCTGAAGTTCCGCTACCCAACAACAGTCTCTTGTCCTGCTCAGTGTTTGTCTCTCAGAGGCTTATATGCCCTCTGCTTGTACAAGCAGCTGAACCCTGCCTCTTGTCTGGACCACTGCTCCTGAGAGAACAATGAATCCACAAAAAGCGAGTGGCTGCCATTTCCCCATCTTGCTTCCTGGGAGCCATATCAATTCCTGAGTTTCTCTTGCTCCTTGTACTGTACATGTGAGATGCATCTATCTCATTTCATTAAAAAGTAAGTTTATTTATATCCATTGAGATAAAATACTACATGGTCCCCTGGAGATAGGGAAAAGATCAAGATCCCCTGAGCAAATTAAGAGCACAGGATGAGGGGGGAGGGAGCTACGAGAATGAGAAGGGAAGAAGAGGAGGGATACAGAGGTCATGAGGGAGCAGGAAGTTTGAGTCAGGGGAAGAATAGAAGAAAGGATAAGTGATAGGTAGGGTTTTAGTTGAGGGGGGTGGTAGGAGAGGAAGGGAGGGAGAAGGGAACTGGAATTGTCATGTAAATCAATCTTGTTTCTAATTCAAATGAAAAATGATTTAAAAAAATACTTTACACATAAGGCGTTTCTTTATGTATACTGACCGGTAGTTTTTTATTTTCATTTTTATTCATGTTTACTCTCTGGTAAGAATTAATATACACCAAATTCTGACATTTTCACCCTTCATTACCCTCTCTCACCTCCTCCTCCTTTCCCACTGAAATCTTTATTCTTTTTAACAATCCTTTTATTTTGATGTACTTTTTTTTTAATGTGTGACTCACAGAATTTGATTTTGGTCAAGTGCATGAACATGAATGTCCCTCCTCTAGCACCATTAACTGCCTATAGTCCTTTCTGAAGGGTGGGATCTCACGACCCCCCCCTTATAATAGAGACTTATGACAGTATGTGGGGCTGCCTTGGTGTGCTGTCTTCCTTCAAAATCATCAAGGAACAAAAAAGAAGGTCTGTGGTCAAGTAAACACATCTGAGAGAAATGGTGCCTTGGGCCTTGCCTCTTCATTCATGAACCATCAATCCATGGGACAAATTTTATGGGACAAAACCAGCTGTCGGTTTATACCAGGCAACAGGGAGAATTTTAAATGGGAGAAGAACTTGATCTGCCTGAACCAACCCTTCTATGACAGTAACCAAACCTCTTGAAAGTGGGGAGTTGCCCACAGACCCCGATGCTCCTGGGAGCAGGGAAGCCCAGGGTGAGCATGGCTGGGCCTCAGCCAACCACCTGAATCTCTGTGGTCTGATTTTGTTGTTGTTGTTGTTGTTTTGTTTTGTTTTTCGAGACAGGGTTTCACTGCATTACAGCTCTAGCTGCCCTGGAACTATCTCTGTAGAACAGGCTGGCTGCAAACTCATAGAGATCCACTCTGCCTCCCAGTGCTGAGACTAAAGACATGCACCACCTCTTCCCAGCATAATCTGTTCTTCTAACTCTGGAAAAGTAGTGGGTGTAATTTTTCTCAGCAACCTTAAGCAGCCCAGGTGCAGAAAAGCAGCACACAGATGCAGGCGAGCAAATCTGAGTGGTGGGGTGGGAGTGCTGGCCGCAGCAGACAGGAAGAGCAGAGAGGGCCTCTCTGCAGTAGGGAATGACTCTCCAAGTAATGGACATCACCCAGATAATTTGTAGCTTACTTGGAACAGACCTTTCAAGGATGTCAGAAATATAGGGATCCCTTCCACATACCTTTGGTTCAACCATTGCCCTGTGCTCTGTAAATACAATATTGTCTATGGGTGATTTCCAGAACACTACCCACAGGCCTGGTGGCCAGTGGGTATACTGTAGGGGAAGCTGTAGCCATGTCTACTTAGGGGCTGGCTACAGGTGTGCCTGACCATGCTTGCGAGGACATGGTCAGGGTGACGTAGAGTGATACTTACATGGACTGCGTTTCTCTTTCGGTTTCACTTTGGTACTTGCTGGACAGACACTGCTGCCGGGCCGGCTGGCTAGGTCACTCTGTAAGTAAGGCTTTTCCCTATTAAATACCCTTATATTTCTACCTGACTCCATATTGGTAATTTCCCACTATAGTATACAGCAGGAATGACCAGTAGGCTCACTCTCCAGAAGAGACAGTCAGCCACCCCCGGGAGTTGGTATAAGATATCCCTGCTCCTTCACTCCACAGCAAGGCTGCAAGGTTCACAAGCTAAAGTGGTCCTCAGAATTCCCTTGTAGAATCAAACTCATGACCCTCACAGTGGGCTCTGTCTGACTAACAACTTTTAACCCTGGTCTCAGCTCCGCCTAATTTCCCACTCCCTTCGACTCTCTAAGAACCAGTCACACCTAACTCCTCAGGGCTGCTTCTAGAGGAACCCAAAATATGACACTGGATCATGATAACCCGTTTTAGGTCCACATCACATAAATCAAGAAGGAAGATGCAGAGCTCAGCCTGACAACTGGGCTCCAAAGTTCTCTGTTACTGGGGGTCCTTTTGGGGCTGGGGTTGAGTGTCTGGCAGTCTCATTTTGGCAAAGCCATTAGTCACCAGTGCTCCAATCAGAGCACTGATCTGAATCCACCAAGGTCTCTGCTGAGACAGCAGAGGACCAGGAAACAAGGTCCCGGTGACCTCATGAGGACAAAGCAGGACTTCTGCAAAGAACTATGTGCTTCCCTCATCTGTGCAGAAAGGAGGGCATTCAGCTGATCCTTCCACAAACCCAAGGTCCCCTCCAGTAAAACCAGAGACCAGGCCTGAGTCAAAAGTCCTTGGTCTTGGGAAATCTTGACAGTGAGCACTATAGACACAAGAGAACCAAGAACACAAAACCCATGACACATTCAATATACTTTATTAAAAAGTTTCTTTGTATAAATTTCCTAAAATTTAAACATTAAATCCCACCTCCAAACTCCAAGACAACAACAATAAAAAAAACAACCCACATTAGAGGAATGCCAAAAAAATATTCTCTATTACAACTTTCTTTTAATTCTTTAATCGAGGCATTTGTCCCAACAGTGCACACAGATGAAAGGGGTCAGATTTCTTCTAATTAGATCATTTTTCAGAGAATTTAGAAGAAGAAAATTGCTTAAGGTCTAATCCAGGAAATTGGGGGCATAAAAAGGTTAGACTCTTGTTTCTCCGTCTAAGCCATGCAACTACAGGGGAATGAACCAAGCAGAAATGAACAGAGTAGCTGTGACATTGAGGCTATCTATGTCCTAGACATTGCATTTGCCTGGCACAGGCATGGAATGAAACTCCAGAGGGAATTTGAATTTATAGGAATGTTCACATAAACACCAGCAGTGGCTAGCTGTTACATAACGGTCCAAGTATACGGTAGAACTGCCTGGAGCCGGAGAGCGGGGTCCACAGACACGTTTAGCACCATATTGACAGGTCACGTGCAGAGGCTTTCCTCCCGAGGTTGAGTGTCAATCAAAGCATGAAAAGGCACCGTGCTGGGGCATCTACCCAGAGCTTCTATAAAAAATGAGTTGGAAATGGCCGCCTCCTTCTTCTCCCAGAGGTACGTATCGCCCAAAGGCCATGCTTAGGTTCTGGTCAGGCTGATAAATCTGGGTGTGGGACGCATTGAGTGTGGAAGGAGGGAGAGAAGGAGAGAGAAGGAAATGAAGAGGTCACAGACATAAAAGACATTGTATTCACTATGGTACAACCCCACAGCCTCCAGTCTCTATCCCTTCCTCAGTGGTCCCTGACCTTTGTAGTTTCAGATTTGAGTAATCTGAAATCGGAACCCACCCTGACAGAGGCCAGCCTCACCTCCACTTTGTGCACTGGCCCTCCCTCGACTCTGACCCCAGGCCCCGTGCCATTACTTATTGAATTGTCCACTATGACACTAGACAGCCCAAGTGTCAACATGATTATTTATGGGAAGCAAAATTAGTTTATCATTGGTTTTCGGTTGTTGATCATTATTCTTTTCTAACAATCATGTATAGTGTGACGTTTCTAAGGAGACAAGGATGTAGTAATGCTTCTGATATACTTAGCTCTGGGTTTCCTAACTGCCAAAAATACACCTACTTTCAGGAAACAAGCCAGCCATTCCAATAACTAATTTCGTGTGTGTGTGTGTGTGTGTGTGTGTGTGTGTGTAAAATTAAAAATTGTATCTCTTTTTAGTGTTTCCCTGGCACATCTTATCTGAGGATACAGGTTTATACATACAGGTTTTCCAAAGTCACTGTAATTCAAGTATTTCCCGGTGGTGAGGTTATTAACCTGGATCTCTTCTCTTACAGAGAAAACAGAACACGAGGGACAGCCACTTACCAGGACTGCACATCTTTTCACATTCTCCCTGGGTCTTGAATCTGTTCTCATTGCCCCCACAGCCTCCATACCAGAATCTCTTGCAACCTTTGTCATTCAGGTCGTAGTACCATAGTAACTTAAATTCAGCACAGGTGCCGCTGTCTTTGGGCAGCTTGCAAATATCTACAAACCAAGACGAGAAAGGAGCATCAAAGGGACTGTGCCAGCAACTCAGCCCCCAGAGTCCGTATCGGAGCCTGTGGTCTGATCTCAATGCTATAGTAGAGAAGGGTTTCATGGCGGGAAGGTTTCAACCTACCGAAGCCTCGGTTTCCTTGCTATTGTACTGACTGACATACGAGTCACTCTCAGGTTTGCAAAGAATAAATAAAATCACACCAAGAATCTCAAATATGAGCCATCATTGAATAGCAAAAATAAAATGACTAACTTCCCCCACCCCACCCCCATTTCATTCTCCCAGCCATTTGCTTTCCAGTTCTTTCTATCTTCAGCGTCCAGAGAAGAAACTGAATTTTCAGACCATGGGCTTTTCTACTCCTTGGTAAAATGGCATTAAATTCTGTTAGAATGTACTTCAAAAGTAAGGTTGCACATTTCACAAAAAACATAGATTGAAAATTTAGATAGAATATAAGTGAGCATTTGTTTTTCTTTAAAAAATATTGTATTTTATTGTGTGTGTGTGTGTGTGTGTGTGTGTGTGTGTGTGTGTGTGCGCGCGCATCAGATCCCCTGGAACTGGAGTCATTGGCAGTTGTGAGCAGGCAGACTTGGGTGCTGGGAACTGAACTCTGGGCTTAGACAAGAGGAGCAACCACTTTTCAACACTGGACCTCCTCTCCAGGCCCTCAACAGGTGTTCTTTATGATAGGTGTGCACACAAACACACACACACACACACACACACACACACACACACATGTGTAACCAGGTATCATTGCAGCCTCTCACATAAAATTAACTCAGAAAAGAAACTTCTCACCACAGCAGAAATGCCCCAAGGCAAGACTGTGTGGGAGCAGGAATTTTTTTCCCTCCAGTTAAGGAAGTTCATGTTTTGAATGTATTTGTCTGTTGTAGCCCAGCTGCAAAGGATGGCCAGATCTCCTGGATGCCTACAGAGGTAAGTTTACAGTTTGAAAACAGTGAGGCTTCTGTTTACAGAACTTTCTGGCAAACTCTGGAGTTCTCTGGGAATGATGTGTGCATGTGAAGTGCTTTAATCTAAAAGTCTGGAAGGCTAAGCCTTCTTTCAACAAAAGTCCTGGAGCAGATAATGTGCATGTCTGTGCGAGCGTCTACCAGCCCGACTCACAGCTCTCCCACCAAGTGCCACTTCCATTTAACCCTGAGCAAACCAGAATGCCATTGTTGTAGTTAGTACTTCTTTGAGCAAGATCAAGGGAGCTCATTCAGAAGTACTCAAAACACGACTGGAAGTGTGTTCCTTGGCATTTCTGTGGTTTTAAGAACACGAATTTGATCACCTTGGATACCAGCAGTGTTGATACAAGATTCTGCCAAACCTACAAGGCAGGAGTAAGTTTCTGAAGCCAGAGCCCCAGGTCTACAATGGAGGCTTAATGTTCCCCTGAAGTTTTCAGTGTGATTGTGACTAAGTTTTGGACCCTCCCTTTTAGTGTTTGTAAATCAAACACTGCAACCAGTTAAGTCACCTTCTCACAAGACATCAACAGCCTTGAGGACAAATGAAGAAAGCATCCGTACCTACTCATCTCAAGGTGCAGAGTTTAGCTCTTTAAATTGTCATTGACATAAATTTCCCCCATTACATCATCTTGTTCCAATCAGTGATAGATAGAAGACAGATAGACAGACAGACAGACAGACAGACAGATGGATGATAGATAGATAGATAGATAGATAGAAAGAAAGATAGATAGATAGATAGATAGATAGATAGATAGATCTATCCATAGTGGCATATGGCTAACCAAATGATGTATTGCCATTTTACATTTTAAATTTACTGTCTACCATACCAACACAAAACACTACCAACAACAACAACAACAAAAACACAGCATGTACCAACTGTAAGTCATATTTTTGGTATCAGAAGTGATCTTAGAATCAGTACAACAATAAAATGTTGTCAAGCATGGGATAACCATTCATTTGGAGCTGTATAATCGACCCAGTGGCACGTCCTCTGATAAAATACAATCAGCCCTAGAGACTGGTCATTTTCTAGGATAAGTAACAATTGTTACCAAACACATGATGAGTTCTTTTGGCTAGCTCTGGCGTTGACAGTTTTCTTTCACAAATATATTTACACTATTGATTTGTGTTTCATTTAGTAATATTGAAAAAAATCAATGCTCTTAGTTAGACTTGCTTTATTTAGAAATTTTCACTTTGGGAACGTGGATGTCAATTTGGAGGTCTGGTTAATCTATGGGGCCTCTGGTAGTGGATCAATATTTATCCCTAGTGCAAGAATGGAGTTTGGGAGCCCACTCCACATAGAGGGATACTCTCAGCCTAGACACATGGGGGAGGGTCTAGGCCCTGCTCCAAATGATATGACAGACTTTGAAGATTCCCCCATGGAAGGCCTCATCCTCCCTGGGGAGCAGAAAGGGGATGGGATAGGGGTTAGTGTGGGGGCAGGGGAGGAGGAGAGGGAGAAGGATTGACATGTAAAACAAGCTTGTTTCTAATTTAAATTTAGAAAAGGAAAAAAAGAAAGAAACTTTCACTTTAAGATGCATAGAAAGTATTCACCCCAGGGCTCCACCAGCCAAAACTGAGATGAGAATAGTTACTTACAACATTCTAAACCCAAAATTAACAGCCAGTGCACAGTCCCTGCTGTAACAAGCCTGTGGCTGTCAACACGGCACACTCAACCTCTCCCTGCTGTGTATTCTGTTCGAAACTCTTTTATTAGCTTTTGCCTCTCTGTTTGTGGAAAATGCAAAATTTCTAGAAAATTCTTGTTTCATCGAGAGAACATGGCTTGGAAGAACTCCTAGACAGCAAGATTTGGGGGTGATTTTTGCTTCCCTCATTTGTGTCTCAGAAGGCTATGTAAACAATAAAATCTTCACTCACGAATCTGGGTCAGGCTGTTCTGTGTTTCAGAGTGTAGCTGTGCCTTTGAAGCATGTGCATACTGGGTCTTCTTTGGCTGCTCTTTTTTTCTTCCTAAATTTTATTATTAGTGGTGTGTGTGTGTGTGTGTGTGTGTGTGTGTGTGTGTGTGTGTGTGACAGGAGGGGGGATGCCATGGCAAGAGTATTAAAGTCAAAGGAAACTATGGAGTAGGTTAGGAGGGATGCCATGGCAAGAGTATTAAAGTCAAAGGAAACTATGGAGTAGGTTCTCTCCTTCCATGTTTTTATGGGTTGGGGCAGGGGATGAGAAAGTTGGGTTGTTACTGAGTCATCTCTCTGCCCCATAACCAGTATCTTGAAGGAAAATCTGGGAAACCCCAACCACAGAGATGTGGTTTCTTTTTGAGGTCAGTTAGTTCTCTTGTTGGGACACCCTTACCAGGGCACCCTAAGAATATAGCAGAATAGCTATGAGCCAGGCAGTAGACAAAAGTCTGTCTGCAGTCTTCGATACGGGCAGCAGAAACTGCTAACCAGCAGAGTCAAGGGTCTCTGCCTTCCCCTCCCCCAACCTGCATTGCACCTACCTACTTCAGCCTTCCAGTTTGAGCTTACATCATAGCATTAAATTCCTTCAAGGCGTTTTATACGGTCTCTCAGCAGCTGCAGTTGCATTGTCACAATCTGTATGGATTCCTGCCCTGTTTTCATAAGGTTCTATTGAGAAAATTCCCTAGTCTTCTGCCAGTTCTCTGGGAAGGCTAGGGACATTGAACACCATACCTCCGTTTGCATGTTAAATGACCATGGTGGCTCTTCAATCTAGCACAGTTACAAAGGCAGCTACAAATGCTTCTTAGGATAATGAAGAAAAGCACATGGTGAGAAGTTGCTCCCAATTGGCCAGAAAGCATCAAACCATCTCTGCACTAAGCTGACACATGCTCTTTGAGGACTATGAAACAACACCACACCTAAGTCCTCTCGGGTTTTTGAGTTCTTATGTTAGTGCTGGCATCTTTGGCTGACCCATCCTAAGTCAAATACGTTGAGCACTGCAGTAGTCACTTCCTCAAAGCTAATGAGCAAAGTCTCCATTCTGCTAATTGGGAGTGATTGAATGAGAATGGCTCCCATTGGCTCCTGTGTTTGGACATTTGGTCCCTGTGCTGGCTAGTTTATGAAAATTTGGCACAAGCTAAAGTCATCTGGGAGGAGGGATCCTCGGTTAAGAAAATGTCTCCATAAGATCATAAGCAAACCTATAGGGCATTTTCTTAATTAGTGATTGATGGGGGAGGGCCCAGCCCATTGAGGGTAGTGCCATCCCTGGGCTGGTGATACTGGGTTCTATGAGAAAGCAAGCTGAGCAAGCCTTGAGGAACAAGCCAGGAAGTAGTTCCCCTCCATGGCCTCTGAATCAGCTCCTGCCCCCAGGTTCCTGCCCTGTTTGAGTTCCTGTCCTGACTTCCTTTAGTGATGAACTGTATCTATAAGTGTAAGCCAAATAATCCATTTCCTCCATAAGTTGCTTTTTGGTCATGGCGTTTCATCACAACAACAGTAACCCTACCTAAGACAGTCCCCAGTTGCTTGAACAGTTCTAGAAAGATTAGAGCTTTGGTTTTGTTGGAGGAAGTGTGTCACAGGTAGGAGTTGAGGCTTTAAAAGCCCCCCACCATCCCCAGTGAGTTCTCAGCCTCCTGTTTGTGGATCAAGAGATGAGCTCTCCAATACTCCCGCTGCAGCAGCCTGCTACCTCTGCTCAACCATCATGAATACACTCTTATTCCTCTGGAACTGAAAGCCCCAAATAAATTCTTTCTTCCATAAGTTGCCTTGGTCATGGTGTCAATCACAGCAACAGAAAAGTAACTAATACAGGTGGTTATGGGTTCTCAGACTCGTATTCCAAGGATATAAGTCATGCCTGTCACTAACAGACACACTCTGTGCTCAAGTACCCAAGAGAGTGGTCTACAAGAGCAAGCCACAATGTGTTGTTTCAGGAACTAGGAACACATCAGAATCCTCGTGTTCTGTGGGGTCTAATCCAGTTGTCTTGTGTTTCCTAAGCAGTTTCTTACAGCTAATTCAATGAGTGAATGAAACCCTATTCTTTGCAGCACCACAGACCACAAGCCAACCCTACTCTCAACCTAAGACAGAGAGGATGTGACTAATAGAGCTGTGCATGCTACCCACGGGCTCAGAAGCAGCTCCATCTGGCTTCTTCCAACAGTCCAACAGTATGGTGACAAGCATTGTTCCTCTGCATTTGAAACAGACAACATGCAGAATGGTATGGAACTCAGCAGCTGAGAGCCCCTTTGGAACTTACCGCCATGGAAGTTGTCTGAATTACTCTCAGGCAGGTGACCTCAATTTCAAAGGATTTGCCATTCCTGAGAGAATACTTCCTGAGATCCATAGTGACTCACCTGTTTTAGTGAGGAACAATGGCTCTGTGTTCACCATGAGATTGATGGTTGAACTAGATGCTGGTCGTGCTGGCTGAAGAGCTGGAGGCTGAGTTTTCTCTATAAGAAAAAACAAATTGTAGGTGACTACTAGTTGACTCAAAACTAAAATGGATGGAGAATGCTAAGCTGCAGATGGACACTTGCCTTCTGGATTAATCTCTTAGGTAATGGGGTGCTGTTGAAACATAGAAGTCTGCCCTCACTATAGATGCTGCAATATACATGTTAAATGCATCTGTTAGCAGCAGGTGGAGGAAGCCCCTGACCCAGGAGAATGGTGTCCTGGAGTTAGGTGGGTCTTCAGACTCCCTAACCTGGAGCTACCGGTGGAATTCCTTTCTTCAAGAATGATTCCAGCTGGGCGTTGGTGGTCCGAGCCTTTAATCCCAGCACTTGGGAGGCAGAGAGGCAGGTAAATCTCTGTGAGTTCGAGGCCAGCCTGGTCTACAGAGCAAGTTTCAGGACAGGCTCCAAAACAATACAGAGAAACCCTGTCTCCAAAAAAGAAAGAACGATTCCACCATATGAACCATGCTGCACTGAGGAGAGATACTCTGCCCACAAGCTTGAGAAGAGGGGTTAAGAATAGAGGTATAAGAACTCAGAAAGACTCAGAAAGAAGAAAGATATGGTCTTGAGTGGTTCAAAGGGGCTGGACATTAAGGACGTGGTGGTGTGTGCATGGCCGTAGTTCCAGTCACTTGGGAAGTGAAGTAGGAAGATCATCGGAACCCAAGATTCCAGGACAGCCTAAGCAACTTAGAGACCCAGTTCTAATGATGGTGATGGTGATGATGATGATAAAAGGAATGTGAGCAAAGTGGACCACCCAGCTGAGTACAGGTGGGTAGGGCCAGGGAGGGAGAGACTGGTAGCCCACCCACTCTGTGTCAGACCCTTGAGTCAGATACCTCATGACTATGCACATAAAGAGCTCCTAAACTCTTCCCTGGCTCCCTAGGGATTGGCTTCACTGAACTTGGAAACAGCGTCTCTACCACCAAGATTCAAGCCCTGTTTCCCTAGGCGCCACCCTGGATGAGATGGGCTAAGGGTGAGCAAATCTGGTTTCCCCCATAAAGTATCCCAGGAGCCAAGGATGAGGGCATATTGCACAGGGAACTCGGTCTTCCCTGCTGTTGCGGTGTTTTAGACTTGCAGGGTGCAACCCAAGTGCCCAGGATGGACAGGTTTTACTTTTTAATTGGTTCAGTGCTTCACAATAGACTCTGTACATCATTGTTTTACATCCTATTTGGTGTGCCATGTAGAAATCAAGAACCAAGTACCCTCAAATCAACGGTGCACTTACCTGTATTGAAACTTCCATGGTAGACGGCTCTGACCTGAGACTGCAGATAGGAGACCACCACCACGTGGTACGTCTGTCCAGGCAGCAGGCCACTGATGACACGGTCAGTGACAGTGAGGTTTTGCCTTAGAACCAAGGACTGGTCGTGGGCTGAGGTTACAGTGAGGTCATAAAAATAGGAGCTAGAGGGCTCCAGCCTCTCCCAGTGGAGTCTGGCACTGTTCTCTGTGACTTCAGAGACCTGCACTTCTCGGGACACTCTTGCTGGAAGGGCAGAGCAGAGTGCAGAGTTAACAAGTAAAATTCCTCATGACACAGGACACTTCACACAGATACACAGGAGCTTCAGAAGAGGTCTGGAAGATGTCAGAAGACAGCTGTCCCAAAGCTTCCCAAGAAAGAGAACTAATGTCCCATTCATCAGTCATATCCTCCATCGGCTCACATAGCATGTAACCACACAGTAACAATGCCCTCCCTTATTCGTCAACAAGGTACATAAACAACTACTTTCGTTTTTCTATCAAAAAATCACTTATTAGGATGATAATAAGCCAGGCAATGGTGGTGCACACCTTTAATCCCAGCTCTTGAGAGGCAGAGGCAGGCACGTCTCTGAGAGTTCGAGGCCAGCCTGGACTACAGAGTTCCAGGATAAGCTCCAAAGCTACACAGAGAAACCCTGCCTCAAACAAACAAACAAAAGATGATACTTTGAAATGTAAGTTCCAGGGTGCTAGCAGAAAGTTAGATATACAGTACAAACCAGCCCTGGGATTTCAAATGTGAAAAGTCATAACGTTTTAGGATGTGAAAACAACTGGTTGTCAAGAGGTCTCTGCTTTCCCTCTGCTCACAAAATGAAGATAGTTTCTTCTTTATGGAGAGCACATATATTCTAGACTCATCTTCCTTTATAGCAAGTGAAATGCTGTAGAATCTTCCTACATCTTCTTTGGAAAAAAAGGTAACAATAATACTCCCTGGGTCTGGTTGACTAACCCATCCCTCATTAACAAAGTCAGGAATGAAAGAGATTGCTGGTCAGACTCTGAGGACAAGTGTCTGAGGTGTGATTTCTCAGCTTACTGAACTAACTCCTGATATTGCCACAGAACTCAGTGTGGGACCCCTTTCTGTGGCCACATCCCTTTTGGAAGGAACGGAGTGATTATCACTAAGCTCCAGCTTAGATCTTTCCAAGTCATATTAGAAGGGGAGTAAGTTTGGTTCCAGAAAGAAAGAGGAAAAGAAAGAAGGGAGGGAGGGAGGGAGGGAGGGAAAAGTAAAAAGAAAAGAAGGAAAGAAAGAGAGGAAGGAAGGAAGGAAGGAAGGAAGGAAGGAAGGAAGGGAAAGGAGGGAAGGAGGTAGGGAGGTAGGAAGGAGGAAGCCACTCTGCTGCCTGAGCAAAGCAACAACAGCAGGCTTTTCCTTCCTCTCCCACTCAGAGTGCCAGGACCCACATTCCACATGTGACCAAGGATAGCTACAGATATGGCCCAACACAAAATCATAAACTTACTTGAAATATTGCAAAATGTTTCTTGTGTAACTCGATTACATAGTTCTCAGGCTTGAACTTTGTAGATAACAGCGTCATGTGGCAATGTCAAAAAGTTGGACAGATTCCTGACCAATTACCCATGGGAGGTGAGGCCATGGGACCCAGAGAAGAAGCTACTGCTCTGTGGTCCTAGTCCAGTGTGATGCCTAACTGCATTCTATGTGCTCATCTTTACATCCTCAGGCAAGTGTAGCTCTCACCCTCTTCAAAGATGCTGCCTTTGCAACAGACAGAGACCATTGCAAGAAATTGCTCAAAATGCAGAGAACAACTGATAGTGTGGTACCCAGCCCTAACTGATGTATCTACAACACAACCTCTGCACCTAAGGCTCACGGAACATTATGGAAGACGGGGACGGAATACTGTAAGAGCCAGAGAAACCAGGCCTCTATAGCAGGGAAACTACACCCAGGGAAGCAGGGCTGGCAGTAAAGGAAGGAGTTGCCTTCATCAGGACCCCAGCAGCCTTGAGAGGCTGTAAGAGGAAAAACTGCTTCATAATACAGAGAAAAGCAAAAGCGATGTGTGGACAATCCTATGAAACAGCTAGTATCTCCTAAAGTCATCAGCTATGACAACCTCAGACCAGCAGCTACCCTGTAAACAGACTTCCCAGGCCATGATCTCGAAGCGGTAAATTCATACATAGAAGATGGTTCTCTAATGAGGTTTTCTTACCCATGGGCTTAGTAGTGGCCGGCTTGGTGGCAGCTGGTTTGGCCTGTGGCCTGGGGGTCTCTGGCTTAGTAGCAATTGTCCTTGAAGCAGCAGCAAGGGGTCTCGCTGCTGCAGGCTTGGCTGCTGCTGTCTTTGCTGCTACCGCAGGTCTGACTGTGGCTGTATTCGCCGCCACAGGCTTGGCTGCCACATGCTTGTTGGCAGAAACTGGCTTCACAGCGGCTGGTTTAGCAAGGGAAGGCTGAGCTGGGACTGGCTGAGCTGGGGCTGGCTGAGTATGTACTGGCTGAGCAGGGGCTGGCTTAGCAGGAGTTGCTGGCTGAGCAGGGCCTGGTTTAGCAGGGGTTGCTGGCTGAGCAGGGGCTTGTTTAGCAGGGGTTGCTGGTTGAGCAGAGACTGGCTTAGCAGAGATTGCTGGTTGAGCAGGGGCTGGTTTAGCAGGAGCTGCTGATTTAGCAGGGACTGATTTAGCAGGAGCTGCTGGTTTAGCAGGGGCTGGTTTAACAGGGGCTGCTGGCTGAGCAAGGACTGGTTTAGCAGGGGCTAACTGAACAGTGGCTGGCCTAGCTGGGGCTGGCTTAGCAGATGGCAGATTTACAATTGCTGTTGGTTTGGTTGTTGTCACTGGCTTCATTGTGGTCACAACTTTGGATGTAAGACTTGAATTAACATTATATGGAGTGTTTCTGTTAAAAACAAATCAAGCATTACCTGTACCCATACTTCTGCATGTTATATGAAATAGAGAGTCATAGCCCTATGATCTATAGGAAAGTTGTGGTTTTATCAACATGTAGGTACTGGTTTCTATACATCTTACATAATACTGCATATACCACATTTCTTACTTTTAGAATCTACCACTAAGAAAATATTGAATGGCATACTAAATAGAATTGTTCAAAATTATTGTAATTGCATCAATGATAAATAAATATAATATCCTAATTTCAATTGATAAGAAAAGGTGGAAAGTAAAAGGGAGTATACATGTTCAGCAATGTTTTAATTTAAACATTAACTGAGTCATGTATGTCAAAATCAGTACTATTTGTTTGCACTATAAATTATTCATTAGTGAGGTAGCTCGCACTATCAATCCTAGAACACTGAAAAGATGAGACAGGAGAACTGCTGTAAGTTTGAGATCAGCCTTGGCTACAAAGTAAGGTCCAGGCCAGCATGGACTGCATAGCAAGACCATGTCTAAAAAAGTCAAAAAGAACAGAGAGGGAGATTGGGGAGAGGAAGAGGAGGAAAAGGAACGGGTAACACAATGCAGCAGACCCTCAACTCGGCTCACACTGGCCACACTTAAATCTAGTGTGGCCATATTTTGACACATAAAAAATGGTTTTAAAAAAGTAACAATGTGCTAGGACTGACTTAGGTCTCAAGAGACCTTATACTTAATCCTTTTTCTCATGAAAACCCTCCTGGTCAATTTTCTAATAAGCCCAGGCTAGGCCACTGAAAGATGAGAGGTCATGTGGAGCGAAGATGGATCTTCCCATCGAAGACCAGGCTAGAACAGCCTGTCCACAGCTGAGAAGCATATGATCACAAACATAAAGGCGGACAGTAGATAAAAACCACTCAGCTGAACCCAGTCAGAAATTTCTAACCCACAGGACTGAAAATTCTTGTTTTAAATGTCTAAGTTCTGGCCACTTTGTTTTGCAGCACAAGCTAACCAATACAAAAGAATGCTTAAGAACTCACATTACTTTAGGGAAGTCATACTTCCATATTTCATTGTCTCCATCCACGAAAGCCTGGGATTGGTTGGAGACCTCTACTCTACAGCTACTCTTGTGCTACGATATTTGGTGTGACAATTATAATTACTTACACATGTTTGTGACCAAACTTCACACCATTCTTCATTGGTTGGTCCCCTTGGAACCAATCACACTGTTTCCTGATATCTGGAGGCAGGTAAAACGCATTTTCACCTAGAGGGGGGAAAAATCAAACCATAGAAATGAAAATTAGTGTGTTAATGAGTTAGTTATATAAATACTTGAGTGACTCAGTTGAAGATAGTGGGTCCTCGATGTGAGAAAGTAGACCAGAATAAATGAAACTTTAAGTAGAAAGTATAATAGGTTCCATACATTAACATCAAATTATAATCCAGATATGTTGGTGTTCTCTAAATGTTTTATTGGGTTCACTCTTGTTTCTCCCTGGGTAAAGCTGAGGGTTGCCTGTGCTTCATATTTTCCCCTGAATGTTTTTTGGCATAGGCATTCCTAATGTGAAGAGGGTCTTGTTCATGGACTTCAATTTTCTCTTCAGTGATGAACATTCAGCATTGACAGGCTTTCTTGTATTTTATAGATAACCCTCTTTGTTCAATATGTGGCCTGTGCTAATTCACTGTGAACTACCCCAGGCCCTGGCAAATACAACAAATTATTTGTCCCCATGTAGGACGCAGTCTCCAGAGATTACAGATCTAGAAACAAATGACCCATAAGTCACATAACTGATGCCTTAAGTCCAGTGTCCAAAGGTGGGAACTTTTGGAAATTAGTTTTTAAGATAAATGCAGAGCAGTCACTGAGATAATGAAAAGGAAATGAGAGGGAGGGTGTGTCCCACTCAGAGGCAAGCATGGGCTAGGCAGCAAATCTAAAATCAATGAGACCCCTTCTAGAAGCTTCCCTCAGTCCCCCCAACAGGATAGACTTCCTATGGCACACCAACATACTAGGTCACCCATAGTCAATGTGTGTTTGGTCCATTTGCAAACTAATTGTGAACTCTTTGGAACACCATCAATGCCTCATTAATAGAAAGTACCAGTCAAACAGGCAGAATAAGTGAGCAAAGGAGACTAGAGTTGTTGCCTATGTGTGCCTTGTGGACTCTAGCTCCTAACTCAAGGCATAGGGTAGTCACACACACACACATGCACAGGCACACACACACACACACACACACACACACGCACACACACACACACACACACACACACACGCACACACACACACACACACACATGTATATATACATATGTGTATTGAATGAATATATATACACACACACACATACATACATACATACATACACACACACACACACACTATATCTGTATATAGTATGTGTGTATATGTATATATACATATGTGTGTTGAATGAATATATATGCACACACACACATACATACACACACATATATAATATATATATATACATATGTATATATATATATATATAT